CAGACTTATAAGTGCATTACTGCCACCTATCTCTCAAATGGACCATTGACACTCCTAATTGAGATTGTAGATAGTGTCAATGGTCCATTTGAGAGATAGGTGGCGGTAATGCACTTATAAGTCTGCGATCCGCCGTAAAGCAAGAAGAAGACGACGCGTCACGAGCCGGCTGTTGAGGACGCGCTCAGGACAGTTCAGACATTGCGGTGGATCAGAGGTAAACAACGATATAAATACTGTTCAGTTTCTTGCACAGACTGATCGTTTAGTGACACATCAATGTGTCACGAGCCGCAGGGTTTAATTTGGTTTTGTTTGTGTATGTTTTTTTGACTTTCAAAGCCGTGATTCCCATTCACTTCCAAAAATCTTCGTTTGTGTTCTATTGAAGAACCAAAGTCACCTACATCTTGGATGCCCTGGGGGTAAGCAGATAAACATCAAATTTTCATTTTTGGGTGAAATACCCCTTTAATTAGATGGAGATTTATATGGAATGTGCCACTGTATTTAACTCAGAAATCAATTATTGTGCTCTGTAGAGGACATTAGTTGTGCATTTTTCTCACATAATACATGCAATATTAAATACTAAGTCCTATGTATCTTATAATTATATCACAACCACAACAAAGGGTTTGTGTAAAAATTTACTTAAATAATGGTGCAGAAGCCTCTGCAAATTAATCTAAAACTGAACTGATGAATTCTGGATTTAAATTCTATAAGTTTCAGAGTAGATGAGGTGACTGAGGGGGGCTGGCATGAGAAGGAGGAGCCTGACAGGGTGCTGGCACACCACTGTGGAGATTATAACTGAAGCGTGACCAAGGATGATGACTGAGGGACACCTCACGACAGGAACAGGAAGTGAACGTGGGCATTACACACACTATGTCAAGATCTTGACTCTCAATAACCCTACTTCCCACATACAATGGGACAAGCCTAAATATACACTACTGTTCAAAAGTTTGGGGTCAGCAAGTATTTTGTTGTTGTTTGTTTGTTTGTTTTAAATAAATACTTTTGTTTAGTAAAGACACAGTAAAGACTTTAACATTGTTACAAAAAATTTTTTCAAATAAATGCTGTTCTTTTGAACTTTCTATCCATCAAAGAATCATGAAAAGAAAAATGTATCACAGTTTTTAATGTATAACTGTTTTTAACACTGATGATAATAATAAAAAAAAATTTTGTATCACCAAATCAGAATATTAGAATGATTTCTGAAGGATCATGTGACACTGAAGACTGGAGTAACGGCTGCTGAAAATTCAGATTTGCCATCACAGAAATATATTACATTTTAAAATATATTCAAATACAAAATAGTTCTTTTACATTTTAACAATATTTAACAATATTACTGTTTTACTGCATTTTATATATATATATGTGTGTGTGTGTGTGTGTGTGCGCGTGTGTAGTGAGTGAACCCACTGCTCTGGGTCACATCAAATGATCTCTGACAGCTTTCAAAAAAAGTTTCTGCTGGTTTGGTGGAAAATGAAGCTCTGCTTGACGTGAATGCTGAACATCCTCTTCTCCTACTGGCGGCTTGCCATGTCACTCATCCAACAGGAAACCAATAAAACCAGGCTGTACTCTGAGACAGGAAATGTGATGTTAAAAGCCGACTTGCTTACATAGGAAACACATCTTTCAATTGAAAGACAGAGGGGCATTGCAGTAGAACAAATTCTCCTTAAGCAGTGAACAAAGAGCTTGTTTGATGAACTGCTAGAAACCAATATAAACTTGAACTGGTGTACTTGAACCTGTCAACATAATTTGACTCAGTTTGACAGACATATTCTGTAGACACACACCCAAAATACATATATACATAGTCTTAAACTTACTTGAACAGAAGCATCATCATCCACCATGGAGTCATCCTAAAAAACAGGAAAAATATGATGTAATTACCATAAAACAGAGTACATCATGTTACGTCATGTTAGTATTACAACAGCATTTGCAAGGGCTATGATCACAACATGTCAACAATAGACTTGTGCCAGTATTCGGTAATGCGATATATCACGGTAATGAATATGCACAATATTGTTATCATGGGCACTTCTAAATACCGTGAATAATTATATATTACAAATTATTCAGAATTTTGAATGCATTTTAAGAATACTTTTCCCATAAACTGGTCAAAATGCACAACACCGCTGTATGCTTATTGAAAGATGCATGCGCACTCTGATGTAAACAAGCGCGGACGTGAAGCACATGGCGG